GGCACCACACAGCTTGGTGGTGTCAGCAAACCTGGTGACGGTGCACTCAATGCCGTCGTCCATGTCACTGACAAAGATGTTGAACAGCACTGGACCCAGAACAGAACCCTGAGGAACACCGCTTGTCACTGGTCTCCATGTGGACATCGAGCCATTGACCACAACTCTTTGAGTGTGACCTTCCAGCCAGTTCTTTATCCACCGAGCACATCAAAGGTTTTGAGTGAGTTTGGGGAGACAATTAAATTCTGTAAAGCTCTCAGATGTAAAAATAAATCCCTGCCCAAAAAGATGACAAAGTCCCAAGAAAAGACCCTAAATTGCAATTTTTGCAGGTCAGGGGGCACTTGACTTCATGCTATCTGCTGTGTTAATCCCAAAGATTACTATGCTAACCAAAACCACTGCCATGCATCTCAGTTTGGCTCACATATGCTTTACATATATTTTCTTCAGGCCTTTTCAAATCACAGGGAGAGCCTAACTACACATTAATGATTACACAGATATGGTCAAATTAATCAGACCAACATACTGTGGCCTACAACAACTCATAACCGTACTGCACTGGGGAATACTCAGTTTTAAAAGTTATTTATGTTGCTTTCTATAAAGAAACAGATTGCCTTCAGTCTTCCTGAAGAGGTTTAAAGCAGCAGACTAGTATAATACAGAATCACTGCTCAACAACCACACTCCCCAAAACTCAAAACAGCAGACTGTAAAAATATATACTACCCCCTTAACACTATCATTACATTCTTATACTAAGAAGAAATTGTTCATTTGTGAACTTGCACCTAAAATGCCAGAAATGTCTTAAACATTCTTAAACAGAAAAATGTTGTGCCAGGGAATAACCTCCAAAATGGATTTTCAGTCCTCTGCATCATAAAATCAGACTCCTTATGCATGGCGTATATCCTATACAGATAGAAAAGCACAGTGCTGCTGAAAGAAAGAAACTTTTGAAGTGCTAAAATCACACGATGGCCCTAGACATGCTTGCACAGGAGGCTTGCACTTCTTAAGATAGTATGGCTCCAGAGTTAAAGAAGAATAAATTCCTAATCTCATACTGACACAGCACTGTTTATCTTGAGAGACACAAACACATTTTACTCTTTGCACCAATATACCTGAAGGCTCTCATCAACAACAGCAAGATACTGTGGCATGCTTCCAACATTTTAGTCCTGTTCAGCTTTTTTCACACCGTAAGTGACACTCTCTCAGCTCTTCATTTTTTTTTCTCTCAGTTATCACACCGCATTACTCTCTGGCTTTGCTAAAATACAAAGTTTCTGCTTTCTTAATGTTAAGGCTCAATAACTAGCTGCTTTACAAAATAGAAAGCAGAGAGAAGACAGTTCCATCATCTCTGCAGCAGCTGGATAATTAAGGGAGTAATTTATAACTGGGAAAAGCAAAATGTTTGCATATGCTGTCTATGCCAGATGTAAATGAATTGTAGGTATCCCCTAAATGCAAGCTATTACTCCAACTGTTTCTGCAGCTGTACAGTCAGGACAGCAGTCCTTCCAGTGAGGTCTTGTCAAGAAGTGTCAAGCAGGAAAATATTTTGACTGTAGCTGAAATAAATGTGTAGGGGGTTAGGTATAGTTGCTGTAGTCACAATCTTCTCTAATTCTCTATTATGTGTTTTCCTTATTAAGAGGTAGGAACTTAAATTCATAAGAGTAAAAATAATACTTTTTACTTAAACTTGAAAAAAAAGAAGAAACACTTACACGGCAGATAAATTTCTGGGCAATCATATGTCCACCAGAAGAAAAGAGCAAAAAGTTGGTAAGAAGGTGTGTTACAAGATGCCGGTTACAACATTTCTCTGTATCCATTACACTGTGTACAGCAGCCTCCAGATCTTTGACAGAAAGGGCTGTATGGCTGAAGAGCATCATTAGATCATTGTAGACTGCTTGAGCTTCTACCTGTAGGAAACAGTTTCAAAGGATGCAGGAGCAGAGAAGAGTAAAGGTCATACCTATGGTATTTTTCCTCCGCATTTATTCACTAGCAGGAAATTCAAACATTGGCAGAAACTACCCAAACATGAAAAGAGTTTAAATTTAAGCAGCAGAGAGAACAGGGAAGGAAGGGCTGTACACATTTCATTTATACTGATTCACATACACAGAGGTGGATAGAATGGATTTTTTAGCTTTCTTAGGTCTTGCAAATTAAGTAGGCAGGGCATCAAGCCAGGACTTGACCTTCTTTAATAATAAAAGGAAATGGAGAAAGTCCCTCAGCAGAACATGGTCAGATTTTTGCATTGTGGGAAAAAGAACAGAGGCTCCTCAAGGGCTCATTTCAGTATTGCTGCTACAAATCAATTAAATCTTCATGCAATCTGACCCTGGCTGATAAAATGTTCTGGTAAGAATGCATTTTTTTCTTTCTTCCTGTGTTGTTTTCAACTTATTTTTTTTACCTTTTGAGTTGGCCAGTGAAAACTGATTTTTATTGGGAGTAGAAAACAGAATGTTTTGGCACCTACACAATGGAAAAAGAACTGTAAGCAAGTATTGCAAAAAATCTTAACTATAATTCTGTTCACTGTATTAAAAATAAACCAAATGAACTGGTAGAAAAAAACCCAAACGAGTAAGTGCAGGAACAATGGAAAAATATACCAGTGCAGACTCAAAGGAAAAGGACCATGCTCATTAGGACAATTTGTTTCAGTCTTTTATCTGACCTTGCTTTCCTCAGCCCTACAATATTAACAATTCCATATAAAATATTCTGAAAAAGTTGCTATTCTTGAATTATGTCCACAGTTATATGTGAGGCAACAAATTATACCCCCACCTAAAGAATTCTGGAATTCTTCTAGATTCTTTAACTGGTGTGCCCTGTTCTTGGTGTACCTTCATCTCATGTGCAAGAGACTGAAGACTGACAGTAGCAGCCTCTGCTCCATGAGCTCATGTACCTTAGGAGAATCTTCTTAGTGTCAAAGTTACTACGACCAACCTCTAAGTTCTGTTCCTCCAGTGTTTCACTGTCTGCAGGTATGAAAGGACTCCAACAATTGAATAAATATTGAGGAGCAGAATATTCAGTCCTGCACCTATGACTGAAGTCTAGTGAACAGCAAATGTAGCCTTTTTCTTCTCAGATCATTTTAACCTTATGTATTCCATTCCTCCTGCTGCCTAAAGCAGCATGAAGACACAATCTGAAGCCATGAGTGCACACCTTTCCACATGAAAATACGCTGAAAAATCCTTCAGCTTGGCATAGTCAGAGTCCCTATCCCATCTTAATCCTTCACTGATGGAAGTTGCAGGGGTTGGAGGAAACCACTCCATTTGAAAGAGGTGAGAGCTAATCTGCCAAATGAAAAATTAAAATGAAAAGTAAATATCTAACTAAAGGCAGAAGCTTTGTACGAACTGTAGGAATGCTTCTGAGGTAGCCTGGCCTGTGTAAAAAAAAGAAATGTCTTACTTGAAGTAACTAAAGAAAAGAATCATAATGAACGGCAATATTAAACCTCTGGGAACAAATGAGTAACTGTGTGGGCTGCCAGTGGAAAAGCTTTTTTCTCACTGAAGTTTTTCATACATCATGACAGAATAGGGGACACACAGGGAGATGATTTTGTATATGGGACAATGTGATTTCATTTAGTAGTGCTGGAGTTAGAACAATGTTCCATACGTAGATCTGCACCAATACTCCTTCAGTTTCATTTACTCATGATTATTGCTTGAGTATTGACACTTTCCCAAAACTGTATTCTAAAAACAACCCTGGCATCTTTACTTCACTGATTTGTAGGTTTGACCTAACTCTGCTCAGCCAACACCTCAACACCACTCCTAGATTGTAAGAAATGAAAGAGGAAAGTAATTGGGATGTGAGCTTGCTGCTGTAGTGCCATCTGGGTAGCAGGAGGGGAAGAGTAGGAAGTAAAATATTGCAGAACACACTGTTGTACATGCACCATTAACTGTAAAATGAAAGCATTATATTTCATTGGCATGGTATACTGAGGTGCTTTTTTAAAACAAACAGAATCCGTTTTCAAATTAAGGAAAACCAGAGATGCTGCAGCCGTATTTTGAATCTGGACTTTGCAGATCAGATTGCTCAGGCTAGTTCAAACTTGCATAATAGGTCCAAATTAAAGGCTTTCATGTATTTGCATGCATGCAATGATACACAGCACTCTTCATGTAGGACAGTGTATGAGGTTAGAACACTGCCTCCTGTTAGAAACCTAGCATATGGGAATATAACACACTTTACAATCTTATGCATGCCAAAGTAAAGAATCACGTAAGTATCAGTAAAGATACATAAGAGAAGTCAGAATAGGTGGGGGCAAGACTAGGATTCAGGACAGTGTATGCTAAGTATACCTTCACTGCTTCAACTGCTGTTCTGATTTCTCTTGTGTTTACTTCTCATAAGATGCCATAACACAGGAATGCTGAATTCCATCACACAGTGATTTAGAAAATACCATTCCTGGATAGTTTTACTTGTGCTTAAAACCACCCAAGTCTTCTAAAAGAAAGCTAAGAATAAGCTGATCTATATAATATACTTTAAAAAAAGAAAAAATGTTTTCTAAATGCCACCACAAAAATACACAAAAATTGTCTTTCGACTTCTCCACTGCAATGCCGTTCTCAGAAGACCTTGTAAAGCCAGCACCTTTTCCACTGTAGACCTTTCACCTTTGTGGTGTGCACTATTTGTTTTATAGCAATATGATACAAGCAGACTATTGACTGTCTGTCCATAGTATTGCTGCTTACTACAGCTACATTACCCACCATTGTTTGAGTCCTTTTTTGATTTTCATTCTGAGGACAGTAGTAGAATGCCAGCAGCCACAGCAAAGCATCTGGTTCTACAGCAGCCTTCACTAACTGTTCTGCTGCAATATCCAGCCACTCTCCAAAACGAGCAATCAAAAACCAGATTTCAAAAAGGTCATCAGAAGAACTGGAAAATAACAAAGTTACAATTAAATATTCCCTGTTATTTAACATTTTTAAATGTCATAAGCATCCTGCAAAGGGTGCTGGCATGAAAATAAAAATCCTTACACTAATCTTCAACAGACAACTCCCTATCTGCTGAGCACAGAGCCATGTACCACTCCTATCATCCGCAGTTATGACCAAGTGAGACACACCCAGTGCTACTAATAGATTAACTTTGTCAGTAGAACATGCTATGCATAACACCGGTTTCTAAAATACTGAGACAAGTACTATGTATTAAAATATATATCATAAAATTAAATCATTTATACTCTCCAGCTAACGGATTTTGAAAACTTTAAATCATATCTCAGGTGGTGCATTCTAACATAGCGTTGCATTATGTTGTCTTCCAGTTTCTCTCTTGCTTTTCAGCATTATTTTCTGGTTTTGGTATTTCATGAGGCATAGTTTTTAAAAGTTCATTAAGAATTACATTTAAATAGACTAAATATAAAATTTTTTAAGATATTCATTTCTTGACCCTTATAATTCAGATCTGTAATAAAAATTTTGAAGATCTTTACCACCATGTTACTGCAGAAGTAAGAAAAAGAAAGGTGAGAACACACCACAGTTCATCTCTACACTTTATCATATGTACTCTTTTAAATTTAAGGTAAGACTAGAGAAAAGAGAAATAATACAGAGACACAAACTAATGGTAGGTGTCTCTGAAGCAAGAAGTCAAACTGAGTGTGGAAAGGAAGGACAGACAGAAAAACAGCTGGAAGAGGATTAAGAATCAGGAACAATTATTCCTATTAAGTTTAGCAAAAGTTTGAAGAATGAGAGAGTTTTCTTATGTTTCACTCCTGGGGACCCCAAAAGCTGTTGTGCCACTGTTCCCAGGAAACTCCAAGAGATCTTAGAAACTGCAGAAGTTGAAGAAGTTGTATGAGATCATCACATCACCTAGGGAACATGACAAGGCCGTAGTTGGAATAAACTGCTTTAAGACTTTCTGAAAAGATAGGAGGCACAATTTTATGGATGAAGGTGTGTTGTGTGTTGTGTCTGCATCTGGTGTATACTGGTGATTGATGTTGCCTACAGGTATCCCAGAAATTAGTGATCTGCAAGTGATATTGTGTATATGCCTACCTCAGGGTCCCAAAATCCTATTCATAGCACACAAATCCACCACATCAGTATTTCTGGACAAGCGTGATCACTGACATCACACATAAGAGGTTGACACAGAATCACAGAGAAAACAGAGTACTGAGCTGACTGCTACAGAAGTCACCATTGTTGATATTCCATAGCTTTTGGAGCGGCAGTAGCATGGCTCAGACTTCAGGAAACTAGAGGTATGTGACAAAATCTGGGACTAAAATTCCTTAGCTAAAGGAACAGGATCAGCACTGATAAAGTCTTTGAAGATATCAGAATCTGGAAATGTAACATTAAAAACCTTTGAAAAAACAAACAAATGTGATAGTGATCTAGGACAATAGCATTCCCCTCAGCAAAACAACCTGCTTGCTGTGACAATATAGGTGGATAGGCTAGCTTTGAAACCCAGTGATTTTCAAGCAAAGATGAAAATTTAAGATAAAAGTTAATTACTGAGAACAAGTATACTTAAGGTAATACTGACAGTATTCACAAGTGGAAGTGTTCATAGCTCAAAGGGTGAATGCAAGTCCTTAAACTTTAAGTATTAAAATAATTTTAATAGTATTTTGTAGAACAGAATTTACTTCCTGCCTAGGGAGTCTAGGCACCACTACACTTGGAACTCACAATGACTTTCCTGTACCATCACAGAGCCTGCATTGTAGTCATGTACCCGAGACCTCAATCCTCACTGCTGCTTCTGCCTGATCTGTAGTGACACCTATGTTAACTGCTCCACTGTCATTGACAAAAGGTGACCTTCACTTTTTCTGGAACTTTCCTCTGCAAAATGTACATCAGTTGTCTTCTGGTTCAAAATGTCACATAATATTTACTCTTCATTAAGATGACAACTTATAATACTAAATAACGGCACAGAAGAAATCAGTTTATTAGAAGTACACAGAAAGTGCACAGAATCACACACAGAATCACGGACTGTTAGTAGTTGGAAAGGACCTTGAAATATCATCTTGTCCAACTCCTCTGCCAAAGCAGGATCACCTAGATTAGGTGACCAGGAACATGTCCAGGCGGGTTTTGAATGCACCTTGCTGTAAGACTTACATTTGGTGTAAAACAAAACCATTAGAAAACAAGCTATATAAACAGAGAATGCTGACTGTAAGAAGGAAGAGGACAAGCTGCACAGTAATATTTTTTGCCCCTCTGTTATTAAATAGAAAGGATGCAGAATCAGGAATAAAGCAATAAAAGAAAACTGAATACAGTTTCCTTTTGGATATTAGCTTTAAAAAACTTAAGCCAGATCCATTTTCTTTTTAATTGAGGGGGGTTTGGTAGGAAACATAATTGTTGCATGAGTTCTAAAGGAAATAAGAGGATCTTCTGGCAAGTACAATACTATTCAAACTGGTGTACTATCAAAGCAAGCAAAGGGGAAAAATACAATACAAGCCAAGAAAGGGCTAGGCAACAAAAGGAGAACAGACATGCTTCTATTATTGTAACATATTATGATGGATATTTGTTTTATTTGTTTGTTCTAAGTCTGATTCATGTGTTTCTTTAAGAAGCCAGGGTCAGCTAGTGGTCACACTTCAAGGGCAGAAAGGTTTGACAGTGTTCAGGGATGAACAGGCAAGACATAGCACTGAACTGCAGCTCACACAGAAAGTGAGAAGCTGGTAGCAGACAGACTGGCCTCAGAGCAAACAGCAAAAAGCTTTTTTCCACCACTCAACAAAAATAAAAGCTTCTATGAGTTAATTGAAACCAAACATGGAGACAAGTATCTCTCTTCCAGGACACAGGGCGACAGATGGGTGTTTTGTTTTGAAAGTCTATCTGGCCTAGGCATTCTATTTTTCTATTGATATATTTGAAGTTTTAAATCAAAATTAAATTGGTTCCTTTGAATTTAAAAGCTGTTCAACATTCTTGGGAAGGCTCACTTTAGGAGCAGATCTAAGCAGATTTATATCCAAGCTCTAGCCAAGTCAAGTCACATCACACACGCAGTAAGAAAGAATTACAGGGCAGCGACAGAGATGTATCCGTTTTCATTCTCTTCTTATAGTCTTAGAAAATCTACTACCAAAGCAGAGTTCATGCAGAAAAATACTATAATTCATTACAGCAACTATCTGCAGGAAAAAGCAAAGTGCACCAGGTCAGAAACATGGGGTTTCACCTCAAAGAATAATATAGCAAATGATGATTTGGTCTAGCAGTCATATCTTTATGAAAAAAAAAAATTAGGAAGTTTCAAGCTTGGAAGTTTGCAAAAGCCTGCAGACAGCCAGTCTTCATAAAACAGTACTGTTCACAACAGGCTCCTTCCAACACCAACTGCTTTTCTGGTTGGAAGAATTCTCTTATTAATCAGTTTTAAAAGTTTGAGGTAAGAAATGGGAGAGTAGGCAAGTAAGCATTTCTGTTGTACAGCTAGCTATTTGCTGAAATGAATTACAAGATTTTATTTACTCAGAGGCTTATTGGTCAGGTTTGTAAGTGCTACAAAGTTCAGGTTCAGTAAGTAATTGAAGTCCTATTCTTTGAAACAAAGCTCTATTTACAGAATAACAAGAAAATGATGAAATGTAGCTATTACTCTCACAAAATAACATATGCAAAAGGCAAAAAGTTAGAAAACATGATACTGCTTACCTAATGTTCTCATCTTCTACTAATGTTTTGAGCATACTGGAAATCTGTTTCAAGTGTTGAGAGCAGTGCGCAGTTGGCAGTTCTAGGAAGAGAAGATGAAAGTAACTATTAAAATTCTAGTCTGTCCAACAAGAACAGAACAGATAAATTAACCATATCAAACTAGGATTAAAATTTGTGCAACTTGATTCAGTTATCATGAAGCATTAAAAATTTCACTTTAAAATTCCCCATTTTCAGCAAAAGCCATGTGAGGAAGTACAGCTAGTAATATTCAAACAAAGGTGATGTATCCTTGTGTAAACGCTATCTCAATATTTATATATAATCAGTGGAGTAACATTTTCAGAGGTTCTTGTACTGAGCTGAAATTATTGCTCAGGAAAAACTGTACCATATTGAGCAGTGGTTTCCTAATCTCTAAAAGTGGGAAACCCAAATCCAGAATTTAGGTTTGCAAACTGTATCAGCAAAATTCAAGCTTCAAAGACAAAGAGCAAGGTTATTTCTTGTAATATACATAGAAAAACTTCATACCGACAGTTACTAATATTGTAAGAGAAGAATATTTAGTATTTTTATGATCTCAGTAACTTGTCTTCATGCCTACAAAATCATGCACTTTGTTATTTGCTTCTGGTTTAATCTTCTTTAAAGTTCTATTGTTATATAAGAATTAGATATTCCTACAAAAACTACATTAAAATAAGAATATTAAAATTGCAAAGTCAAAACACCCGGTTTAGGAAATGGAATAATTTTGTCTTCATCCCTTTCAAAATTAAGACATACACAGATCATATAGGCTGGCTAATTCTGCAGACATTTCAAGAAGAAACTTACCAAAAGGACGTCTAATTAAAGCTGTTACAAGAGGCTGGTGATGGTAAGGGAAGTAGGACTTCAGTGGAAATTTATGCTAGGATACAAAATCATTATTTTAAGAGCTTTCTGGTCAGCTTTCACAACAAACCCATAGCGAACAATGTCAGATAAGGTAATTAACGATACAGATTGAAGCAAGAGAACAAAAAAGTAACTCTACACTTAATTTCAGGATTTTGCATAAAGAAAGAAGGGGAATATTTAGGAAAAGCTTACTTAGAAAAAGTAATGATTTATGGATAATTAAAATACATACATTAAAAAAATATTCAGAGTTTGATGAAAATAGCATTCTAATATTCTTAGGCTTTTTCCCTGCAATCACAAAAGTCTTCACTTATAATATGCAGAGGTTAAAAGAGGCACTGATTAGTTCAATTTCATTTTCCAATGTAAACAGGTTCAAGGATTCTGTTAAACTGTGAACTAATAACATCTACAAAATCTGAGGCTGTGATGTAGATTACTGCCTTCAGTTCAAAAGCAGAAACCAACAATTTTTAGGCTCTAATTCAGCACAATGTAAGGAAGTCACAGGCAGCAGACTTGTCCTCTACTTCTCTGGATAAGCGCAAACTGTATACTATGAACAATGCTGCTTGAATAATTGAGACCAGCAGCGGCGTACCTTTGACATTTTTGTTCTGCAAACTTCTACTACAGCATGTCTAATGCATGGCATTGCATGTGCAAGTGCAATATGAATTCCCTTTGAGGTGGGCTGAAAACGGAATGGCCTGGCTCACAGGTGATCACTGACACAAAGTCTGCCTGGAGGCCAACCGGCAGTGTACCCCACGAATCACTACTGGGTCCAGTTCTGTTTCACATCTGGATGGTGGGACAGAGCATTCCCTCAGCAGGTTTGCTGATGACACCAAATGGGCAGAAGTGGCTGATTTGCTGGAGTCATGCTGCCATCCAGAGGCACCTCGACAGACTGGATAAATGGCCTGACAGGAACCTCATGAAATTCAACAAGGGGGGAAGTATACAGTCCTGGATGTGGGAAGGAACAACCTCAATGCACGTGTACAGGCAAAACACCTTTGCAGAAAAGGGATCTGGGCACCCTGGCAGACACCGAACATGAGCCAGCAATGTGCCTTTGTCACAAAAGCAGCGAATGGTATCTTAAGCTGCATTAGGCAAAGGATTGCCAGTAGGTCAAAGGATGTCATCCTTCCCCTCTCCTTGGCACTGGCGAGCAGCCACTCCAGCAGCCAAACCTAGAGAACTATATACATTTCTAGGCTTCTTAGTCCAAGAGATACATGGACATACTGGAGACAGTTCAACAAAGGGCCACAAGGGTGATTAAGGAACTGAAATCTCTCTCCTATCAGGAGGGGTTAAGAGGGACCAGAGAAAAGAAAGCTCAAGGGGAATCTTATCAATGTATATAAATGCCTGAATCAAAGATGCAAAGAAGATAAAGCCAGGGTCACTTCAGCGGTGCCCAGTGACAGGACCTACTTGAGACAAAGTACACAAACAGAAACACAGGAGGTTCCATATGGATATCAGAAAACACATGGGGTTTTTTTGGTGTTTGGTTTGGTGGTTTTTAACGTGTGAGGGTAACTAAGCACTTACACAGGTTGCCCAGAAGGATTGTAGTGTCTCAGTCCTTGGAGATATTAAAAGCCAACCAGACAGTTTTGGACAATTGTTTTTTAGGCAGCCTTGCCTGAGCTGCAGAGTGGAACAAGATGACCTCCAGAGGTCCCTTCCAACCTCAACCATTCCATGATTCTGTCGCTTCAGTCTTCAAGTCTCCATACCAATGACCTTAAAACTCTCCTGCCTCCTTTTTTTAAGAATAAGAGACTACTTTCAAGAGAACATCTCTTCAAACACAGACTGAGAACAGAGACTCTATAATATGGGATAAATTTCTAAATCCAATTAAGACTGTATTTTGTAACTCATTTCTTTTGTGATATATGTGCAAGTATCTTACAAACAGACGAAATGACATATTCTGCCTACGTGCATTTTTTTTTGCTTTGTAAACAAATTAACTGAAATTACAGTGCACTGATACGTACAGTATTCTCAGTCAGTCTATGTATCACTGGTACAGTAAGATAAAAGACTTGTCAAGTGGAATTAAGTTAATTAAAAATTAATAATCCCTATACTAAAGTATGCATGTAACCAATAAGCATACACCAAAAATCCAAATGAAAAAGTAGCTCTTGATGCAGTTAGTAGCAGATTAGACAATTGTTGAAAGTTAGGGCTGGGGTGGCCACTAAACACTGACAGAATTGGTTCTGTTAGCTCAAACCAAGACAACAACCCACTGCATGAGTTACGTATGTTAACAGTACTGTAAAGTAAGCTGAAAACCAGTTTTCAGTATACTGTTAAGGCAAAGCAAAAAAATACTTGCTTCCATACAAATACAGTATTTTAGGCAGTTTCTTCCTTATATATGTCATTACAAAGTGCAAAACAAGGTAAGAAGAGACCTAACAAGTTAGGATGTAGCTGGTTATAATAACTGCCATGATGTGTAACAGGAAATAAAAGTTGAACACTAGCTTAAAATATGTATCCAGCTATTTACTACAAAATTCCCAGTTGAGAACCACTGACAATTCTGAAATGATCAAGGAAAATAATCCTGGACGAAATTATAGTTTCTGTCATATAAAAACATGAACTTTAAGTTCATAAATTTACAAGTAATGTGACCCAAATATCCTTAAGTCAGCTTTCACTACCATCACAAACTTGAAGAAAATCAGCTTGTGCAAAACATGGAAAGGATTATCCCAATAGTGATCTCAGTACATCCATTCTTAAATTTCTTATTAAATGACTACACAAATACTGCTTTTCCTAAGTAGGAAAAATGTTCCCATGTTCCATTTACACCTTTTAGGTTTCCCAAAACAAGGAGGAAAAAAGACTAATCCTAAACACTGCAGCACAGCTTTTTCTGCCAAAGTTCTTCAACTTTTTTCTGCCAAAGCTTGTTCTCCCTAAATGGTCTACAAAGACAGCTATTAGAAATGGTCTATTAGAAAAGACAGCTATTTCTGACAGCTGCCACACTCAAATAGAGACTCATTCTCCTCCCACCTTGCAAACATGAGTGACTGCCAGACATGACCTAGTTCTTTTTAAAATTTTGTGGACACATCTGCTTGCCTAGCTTCTTGTCAGTTAACTGTACTACAAATTCTCTAAGTCTCAGATGACCCAGCTAGAACTCTCGTCATCTTCTGTTATTAATGGTTTTACCATTCCTCTGTGAAATGTTAAAGGAGTACATTATGTCCTGTGAAGGGCATACAGATACCACAATGATGTGTGCTTTATCAATATAAGTAATATCAGTCTGACAAAAATTATATGATCTGACTTATTCAAACGAAGTTTAGGAATCAGAGAATCATAGAATTGTCAGCGTTGGAAGGGA